AGGGGGCGGTGCCCCAACTCCCCTATCGGCCCTACTCTGTGAGTGACAGGGGGGAGCTCCTCAACCCCCTTATGGGCCCTGCTCTGTGCATGACAGGGGGGAGCTCCCCAACCCCCTGATCGACCCTGCTCTGTGTGTGACAGGGTACGGAGCCCCAACCCCCCCTGATGGGCCCTGCTCTGTGACAGGGGGCAGCGCCTCAACCCCGATTGGCTCTGCTCTGTGAGTGACAGGGGGCAGCGCCCCAACCCCCTGATTGGCCCTGCTCTGTGAGTGACAGGGGGCAGTGCCCCAACCCCCTGATCGGCCCTGCTCTGTGCGTGACAGGGGGTGGCGCCACAACCTCCCCATTGACCCTGCCTTGAGTGTGACAGGGGGCAGTGCCCCAACCCCCCAATCGGCCCTACCCTGAGCGTGACTGAGGGTGGCATCGCAACCTCCCGATCCACCCTGCTCTGTGCATGACAGGGGGCGGCGCCCCAACTCCCCAATCAGCCCTGCTCTTAGCCTGACCAGGGGCTGCACTTAGGGATTGGGCCTGCCCTCTGCCACCCGGGAGCAGGCCTAAGCCAGCAGGTTGTTATCTCCCGAGGGGTCCCAGACTGCGAGAGGGCACAGGCCGGGCTGGGGGACCCCCCCCCCCCCGAGTGCACAAATTTTTGTGCACCGGGCCTCTAGTATAATAATAGAGGAATATGCACATTGTCTGGGACACCGTAATGTCACAACCGCTCAGCAGGAGGCATGCACAGCAGAAGTGGGTGGGCGGGGACTGCCATCACCAGGAGGGCCTCCATGCAGCCCAGCCCAGGGTGGCCCCTGGCGGAGGTGCACACAGGTCTGCCCAGCGCTAACGTGATGCTGACTGCGAGCGTCCCTGCCCAGTTTATTAATAAATTTATATATTATTTTCATATACATTTTACTAGTTTCCTTTCATCTCTGACACTTCTATTATAGAGAAAGGGGAAATAGCAATATTAAAATATTTCCTCTAATTAATCCCCTTTTAATATGCACAAATTTCGTGCACTGAGCCACTAGTATAATTATAAGCCTTCAAAAATAACCATAAGACTACATGCTGGGGTGGGGTGAGGATGGAATGGGGGATGGGAAGGTATGGAAAGGAGGGAATGAGATTTAGTTAAGAAATCCTAAGTCAGGAAATAAAATAAGTTAATGGTAATTCACCCATCTTGCCTATGTGTAGTATTCAAAATACTGAGCTGCCCAGCCCAGCCTGGAGGGAACTGTGGCAGGACAGTTACATCCCATTATGATGCCGTGAGCATCACTAAATATGAAATATGTCCCCTCTTCCTCCCAGGCACAGGAGCACCTGTGTCATCCCTTTAATAAGAAACAGGCTTAGAGATTACTTAGGACGCTCTGCAAGGGAAGAGTCGATTTTGAACTCCAGTGTGCCTGGCTGTCTTTAAAGTTTATTAATTCTTGCAAGTTTAATCCTTTGAATGAGCCACATTTTCTACATTCCTTGATCATTTAAACCTGAATGCCCCATGCAAGTACCCTGCAGCTCTGGTGGTCAGACTATTTTTATTAGTCCCAGAGGCAGCACATCTGTGGGAGGTCAAAGAGGAAATAAGAGTTGACACAAGGATCCCTCATTAATCTCCAATACAAATAGAAATTTCTCTGATTCTTTCAAAGCATTTTACCATTGTCTAGAGCAGCCGTGGGCAAACTACAGCCCGAGGGCCAGATCCGGCCCGTTTGAAATGAATAAAACTAAAAAAAAAAAAAAGACCGTACCCTTTTATGTAATGATGTTTACTTTGAATTTATATTAGTTCACACAAACACTCCATCCATGCTTTTGTTCCGGCCCTCCGGTCCAGTTTAAGAACCCATTGTGGCCCTCGAGTCAAAAAGTTTGCCCACCCCTGGTCTAGAGGCTAAAACTCTACCTTGTTACAAAATTGTTGATGGGTAGACATTAGATATGCAACCCTCAATGTGAAATCTTTTTTGTTTAAAAAATATTTTTATTGATTTCAGAGAGGAAGGCAGAGGGAGAGAGAGATAGAAACATCAATAATGAGAGAGAATCATTGATTGGCTGCCTCCTGCACAACCCCCAGTGGGGATTGAGCCCCCAACCCGCAACCCGGACATGTGCCTGACTGGGAATTGAATCATAACCTCCTGGTTCATGGGTTGAAGCTCAACCACGGAGCCATGCCAGCCAGGCTCAATGTGAAATCTTCAACATTGCCCTTTTAGCTGATTTTTGTGTCCTTGGAAAGGTTATAAATGAGAAGAATCACAGCTGAATACACTTACATAAAGGCTGCACAATTGAATATAGCTGCCCTATGGTCTAGAAGTGAATTCCGACCAGATCCATTCTACTTGTTTTGCCACATCTGTTCTTATTTTAGAGGACAAAAAGTTAAAAACAACCTTAGTTCACCATTATCCTTCACTAGTTTTCTTGTGGGCAGGCTGGTTTTTTTGAGGGCAGGGCCGTATTTTGTCCCTTTCATGCCCCAGGCCTGACCCTGTGATCAGCACATAGTAGGGCTTATAAACATTTGCTGAATAGAACTGAACTTGGATGATTTAATCTATTTTAAAATATTTTTAAACACATTCAAACAAAAGTTATTCGCTTGTGCTCATTTCATTGTTTAATTATTGCATTCCATCCTTTGTGCAGTCCAATAAAAGGAACAGCACACTGAACATACTTTGGCCAACAGCAAGATTAAAATAAAAGTTCCCTGAAATGTGATTTGTGAGGTCTCTCTTATTTAGCAGTAGGTCCTAAAGCCAGAGACAAGGCCACCTGACAATGGCAGGCCAGGTTGAGGGCTCTGCACTTGGCCTCCGGCCTCACTCCCACACACCTGGCCACACCCAAACCCTGTTTAACACCACAGGGGAGAGGAAGGTCAGTTTTGAGTAGGGGACAAGATTTAAGTTGTCAGGGAAAGCCAAGTGAGCAAATGAAAAATACATAAGAATTAAAAGCAGTTTAGATTTTATAACCTAAGGCAACTCGAAATCTGTCCTCCAGAAAATGGTTATGAATGAAAACCCGGGATTTTCTCTTGGACAGCCTCCACCTCCCATTACTTGGGAGGGATGAAAGCCCAGGCCCCAGTATCACCTGGCCTTGGTTGAAGATGTGCTTCGTGGCTCACTAGGTGGGCTATTGTAGGTAATACTCAACTTCTCTGAGTTCCAGGGGCCTCCTTCCTAAAAGGCATTGATGTGAAGGGGCTCTGGCTTAGAGGGTGCGGGGAGGGGAAATGAGATGATCTGACCAGTGCGGACCTCAGAGGGCAAGTGCTCAGGGACACGGCTCTGTCCCAGCACAGTCATCACAGCGCAGTGAACCGGCAGGTGAAGGGAGCCTTAGGCCTGGAGCCGCCTCTGTTTACTCTCCTTGAGCAGAGCACCCCCTGCTGTTAGTCCAAGGGAGTCTGCTCCTGGTGGTCTTCCCTGGTTCCCTCAGGACCCGGTCTGTGTTGGCAAGTCAGGGGAATGAGGCAGGATGGAGGTTCCCTTTGAATTCACCCAGGTCTCAAAACTAAGCATTTCTTCTAGAATAATATCCAAGTATTGTCTCCTCAGTTACAGAAGTACCATCAGGGCAGGATCCCCTTCTTGTCAGACAGAGAGCCTTCACTGAGGGGCAACCAAGTGGTGACACCATTACCAGGAGTGCTTTAAGCTTTCAAGACGCTGGGGCCAT